CATTGCCTAGGGCAGCCCTCCCTGGCTGTGTTTCCCTCGGAGGCAGGGAAGGCAGGCAGGCACATTATTTCCGCGTAGTTTAACTTGCCAGGAACAGGTGTAAGATAAACCAAAATAAACCCCTCTTGGAATGAAATCAGAGTCCAAAGAAAAGTTTGCATCAGTTGAAAGTCACTTCCAAATATATTAAACTTGCTTGGTTTTCTTATCTAAGCATACCTATACCGGAAAAATTAAAAGTTAAGTACTTTATGATTCTCTCCCTGCCACATTTTTATCCAACATACCCCAGGTGCCATTTGCCCTGTTACAAGAGCAAAATCTTTTTCTGAACTTCCTTTCATATTCCACTTGAATTTAGCTAAAATCTCCATGGTATTTCTGTGGTTTAAGAAGGCTTTAACAAACTTCTGTCAATCTTATATAAATATTTTCCTCTTCTATCAGTATTTTTCCTTCTTGCCTTTTAGTGGCAAAACTGGGAAATCAGGAAGAAAAAACCAAACCCAGAAAGTGGATTATGGGTGAAACCTAACTTTACTGAAGTAAATAAATAGCAACATTTTGATTAATTTAACTGGGACTAAGGTTTCACTCCATATCTTGCTGTAAAGCAACAGGGAAGTTTAGGATGTGAGAGAGTAATGGGCAGTATCATTCCAAACATCTCTGTAGTGACTTACTAGAAGACAAAAGTTTCTGAGGCACATTTACTTCTTTCATTTTTTCAAAGCTAATATCTTGTGTATGATCTTTCAAAATGTTAAGCGTCTCCTCAGCTATAAGACTGATTTTATTCACTCTTTAGAAATATCTCTTATATTCCTATCCTTGCAGATAGTGTCCTTCCTCGTTGACTCCAGTCTGAGATTTCAGATTTTCTCAGCAGCTTTTGCAATGTTTGCTTTTGAACACTTCCTTTCAAATTCAATTTCAAACAATGAATTCTTCCATTTCAGATCTTTCACTTAGTACCACTCAAGAAACCCCTGAGATTACATGAAAGTTTTGTTCATAGTAACTTAGCAAAGGCTTTTTTAGTTGACAGCCACTGTGTTAACAACTGGGCCCCCCTCGAAAAATAAAAAAAATGGACCCAGAACTCATGTGTGTGATAGATTACCCTTGTATATTGTCCAATCTCACTAAAATAGTGACATATAAGTAAAGACAATTAACCAAA